ATCCCTGACATTCTGTGATTCTGTGTGATACCTTTACATTTGTATATTTATTAAGCTGTGTTAAGATAAACTTAAGAATTGTTAAGGCTCTAAAGAATGAATGATTCTGGACTTTTCAGTTGTCATTCCAACAACTTCCTGTTACACTTCTGTTAATTTACATTTAGCTTCTACCAACCTGTGGCATTCGTGTTAGCAAGAGATGTTGCCCATAATGTGGGACTAGGCGTGCCTGAACTTGGACTCTGTAAGGGACTCACAGAGCTATTAAGGGCATTCAACAGAGAGTTTGGAGCAGTTGAGGTGTTGACTGACAGGGCTGTTGGACCTAAAAGTCCTGCAAAAATTATACAAGTGAATATTTAGTTAAGATTAAAGAAAAAAAATTACAAAAGTAAATAAAAAATTAATGTAATTAAAAACAAAAAAACCCCCACAAAATTGCACCTGCATGCATTTTACAAACAAATTTTAACATCAAACCTGCTGTTAATTTTGTGCAGACAACACATTAAGAACAAGCATTCTTAAAACGGGAATCATATATGCAAGAAGGATTGCATCATCTCTTATGTCCTTCTACTGGACTCTAAACATCATTAGAACCAAGAGTCTGCAGGGGCTGCTTCTCAGCCCCACTAGCCCTTTGTATCCCCTTCATGGCTTCGGTCAGTTTGTTTCAAAGAAGCATCACTTAGAGAACAAGAAAGCAACTGCACTTCACAACCTTATTTTCATTTCAGACAATAATCTTCTTTTCAGAAGCTCATATGAACAAACCACTACTTCCACACTAAGAACTATTCAATTCCTTTTTGCATCTTCAATACTGACTGCAAGTCATCCCCCAAATGCATTGCTTATTCCCAAAGCATTCCCCCAAACCAGTTCTTCATGTAAGAGCATTCACAAGGCAGTTCAGCACTATACTCTAAAGAGGTAAAAACACAACCCCAAAGTGCAGGCAGGACAAGAACAGTAACAAAAGCAGCATTAAAAGCCACAGTCAAGTGGCACAAACACTCGCTCCTGTGTGAACCCCAAGAAAGCATCTGACATGGAACTATGCAACACTCCTGGATGGCAGTCACAAAGAAGCATGGTGGTTACGTAAGAACGCTGCGTTTCAAGAACCAGTGTCAAGATTTGTCACTAATTCTTCTGGGACTGCCAGGTTTTCTATATGTTTTGGAAAATAGGTTATTTGCAGAGGTAGAAAATAAACTGGTAATTCCAGTCTGGACTATATGCTTTTTTCTATAAAATTACATTAAGATAGAAAGCTTACGTATTTCTGCCCTAAATTTTGTACCAATAAGTAAGGTCTAAACTAATAGCATGTGCATTCCTCAATTACAGTTAGATACAGCCAGAACTGAAACGTGGTGTTAGCTATGTTCACTGTCATAGAGCTGTTGGCAGGCTTAAGTAACTGCCAGGACAGCCTGAGATATCACAATATTACCAAAGAAGAAATTTCATTTGAAAGAGATTCTTCTGAAAGGGGTAAAAGCAATGTCCTACTTCACCTGTATTTCCCTCCCTTTCACTTCCAGCTGAGTGGTTTGCAAGCCTCTGGAGGATTTTCTACAAAGATGAGTCACACAGCTGATTATGAAAGCCTTGGAGGAAGATTTGCAACAACAAGCCCTTGAAAGGCCAGATGCTTTTGGAATTCTCAAATGCTTTAACACAAATCCTTATGCAAAACACATATGTGGTCCTTTTTCCTAGTACAACTCAATTAAGTTTCAAATGGATATATATCTATTAAAAAAATAAAGATATATATAGAGAGAATAGAATGCATACCAAGACCAGTGAGTCCTAGTCCTGCTGAGGACAAGATATCCAAACCAGGACAAGACAGACCAACAGGGCATGAGACAGTAGAGGGATTTGATGCTATGGTAACTCCACTACTTTCAAGTCCCAAGAGACATTTCCGTGCCTCGTACATATTTAAGGCATTTTAGTGTAAGGAAGTATATACTGCTTCATTAAAAAAAAAACCCAAACAAACAAAAAAAGAAAAACAATGAGTAACACAACTGTATAACATGGATCTGCAACACACACAATTCTTACTGTTCCCTCATGGCTATCAGTAACCTAGCAGTATGAGACAGCATGAGATAATGTCCAACTATTCCAGTTCACAGTAGCCTTGACAGTAAGTTTACGGATTTTGCATGCACCTGGTAATAAGAATGATGAAAGTCCTTTCTGTCTAAGAAAAACAAATATTATTGTACTTTGGTGCTATGTGTTATATCAAATCTTAAGTGTCCCAAGATCTACAGAAAGGAACCAATAATTAAAATCTTATCTTCTCTTTTATCAGATGTCTATGCCTCAAAGTGGACAAAAAAAAGTTGTTCATATTAAATCCAGCTATTAAATTCATAGCTGTCTGAGAATAAAATAACAAATACCTAGAAAACTACAAAAAACATTATTTGTTTCTTTTACATAGTCTACATTATATTTCTTTGTATTGATTTTATATACCCCCACACAGAGAAGCTTATTTATTGACACACTGGAACCGTCATTTAATATTTTAAGAATTTTTCTCTGTTATGGCACTCTACACAACAATGCAAATAACTGTGAGAGTCTCCTATCCATACTCATCTAAATATTCTACAATTAACAACTCCCATTAGAGGTATTTTGTAATTCTGTTTCCTGTTGCTTCTTTTCAACACCTTGAGTAGAACACAGTCAGACTTTCCCCATAGTCATATTATTTGGGTTTTTTGGGTTTTTTGTTTAATTCTGATTGCTAAAGGACACTGCAGTTATATGAGGGAGCTGCAAGTTAAGACAAATTTATTTAAAAACAAATCAAGAGTAGTTTTAGTCAGATACACTTTATCTCCTCATAGTTTATTTCTTTTATCAGTATCTTCCATATGAAAGCTAATCTCTGTATTGTCAAATATTTAATGAAAAAGACAAATTACCATAAAGGAGAGCTGTTGTAACATTTAAATTGATATTTCAAGCAGAAAATATATGCCATTTACAAGTTTATGATCCGTTAAGTTAGGGAGGAGGAGCAGATTTGTCATCTCATTGGCTCTGAAAAGTTGTCATGAAAGCCTAAAAAGAATATATTAGCTTTTCACCAACCTTGCTTGGTTGCTTTGGCTTCGGCTTAATGCTTATGAAGACATCTAACTGCTCCATTAGCTGTGTTATAAACTGTGGTTCTACTTCAATTTCTTCCTTCATATCAAACATGAGCACAAGAGGAAGGCAACCCTGAAAAGTCAAGATGGAAAAATTCATAAAACTTATAACCTACCCTTTTCCCAGGTTTTTCTTCCCCTGTCCTAGATCAGTTAAACAGGTATTTTCCAGTGCTAAGGATGACATCTCTGAAACACTTGAAATAATAAAACTTTAAGTAAAAAAAATAAAAAAGCACCCCTAAAAGTAGCTCAAACCTCCAAAATAACAAGAAAGTGCAGAGAGCATTTCATACTTGGATGTTCCAAATGCTTTTGTAAAGAAGTTACATAAAGTAATATCAGAAGGTCTCACTGAAAGCCTGCTGAATGAGAATGCAACTACAGGTTAAGGTTAACAGGCAAACCAGAACCTTTAAAGTTGACATGTCAGGTTTTCTAAGCACATTAAAGGGGCTACTCTTTTGTTATTGTATGCTTAGAGCACCTAAATGATGATGGTAAGAGGGGAACAGGACCAAATAATGTTCTTTGACAGGAAGTGAATGAATAAAACCAAGTCGTCAATATGTCTTCTGTAATTAAATATAGTACAGTCCTCATTAGTATAGGCAAAACTAACAAAAAGTAAGTCTTAGTATTTTTAAGTGACAATCAAAATACAGATAAAACCGAAGGGTTTGGAATAAGGAGAAGACATAGGACAAGAACATTTTAAACAAGACTCCAAACCCCTCGTACTTCGATAAGTAATTTTAAATCACTAGGTATTCTTTCTTCCTTTTACAATTTGCCCTCACCACTACTATGAATGTTTTCTTCACTAACACATTGAATATATTCCTGCAAGTAATATGCTGATGACTAGAAAGTGAGACTTGCAACACTTGTCAGAGGTAAGAGATAGTTCCAACTTATACACCCCAGAATTCATAGCCTCCCTCCTCAATGAAATTAGTTACTAGTTGATATTAAAGCTTCCATTTAGACATAATGCTAAGCCATTTTTAAAGATGGCACAAATATGTTATATATGTCTTACTGTAGGGTATCTGCACTGCATTGCATTTTCTCTTGATATTGAAATCTCTGCCTCAGATTTAATCTCTTATGAGAATTAGAGATCACAACAAATTCATAGTTCAGAAAAACATTATGGTATTTCTTTTCTTGGTATTGATGTTCAGAGGCTTCTAGACTGCTATTCCTAGAAGCTCTGCAGAGATCAAATCACTTTTAAAATCACCTCTGCAGTTCCATAGGACACTTGTGCTGCCTAGCTGTGAAACAGCACCAGCTGTCACTCTGACTGAATCAGAGGAACTAGCAGGAGGCAACAACAATAGTGAACAGAGTGAGAAGGCTGCCATGCAGTCACACCTTGCAGGAAATCACTCCATAACACAGAGGTCTCATCCCACTGAACAATGCCCACAAAGAAAACAAGTCAAGTGAAATTTGCTTCCAAAGAAGTTGAGAATGAAGCTGTAGCTGAAGCTGAAAAAATACTGTTCTTACTAGGTTAGGAACTGGAGGTAAGTTTTTATCTGGTTACTTACTTCTTCCCTCAGCTTTTCAAATTTTTCTTGCTCAAAAAGACAGATTCCTTCTTTGCAAAATTTGCTTTTAAAACTTGTTTTACATACAAAACTGGAAACAACAGTTTCATGACACATATGCCTGCAAGTTGAAACAGACCAAGTCTCCTGGCCAGTATAGTTCTTAAAGGGTGATATAGTAAATGTGATTTGGGATACTAAGCTCTTCTAATGTGCTTGGAATTATTAAATCAAACATCAGTATTTCAAAAAATGGTCCTTAATTCTAAGTTTTGAGAGAAAAGGTATATTTTAATGTTCATGAGACAGCTTGTTTGCATTTCCTTTTACTTCATGAACCTCCAGAAAAGTACTACTTAAACCTCTCCAAGGAAATACATAGAATAAGGCTAACTCTTAGTATGTACAGACAATAATATCCTACAATATAATAATCAGGAATATAACTGTATAAAGAGAAAGGCATCATATTTTTGTTTTCCACTATACAGCAAGGCAAACATAAGAAAGCAAGTGCAACATGAGAGATGTGGACTTCTGGAATTTAATGCTATCACGGTTTATCCTAGTACCAGCTTTGAACTGGATTTGAATCCAATACTCCTATGTGTTGTTTGTAAATATCCATATATATAAAAATCTGCGTACAAACATTAGTTCTGCAACAATGCCTAAAGGTTCCTGTGAAGCTTAGAGAACAATATAGCAAAAACCTGTACTATTACTACTACTACTAATATTCATCATCAGAGCTATTTTTATAAAAGGCTCTATACTACTTAGGCTATGGTACTAGAAAGAATGTAAGACTGCAGAATGAGTGAGTACTTGCTATGGTTCCTCAGCTTCCTTGAAAACTTGCCTACATAGGAACTAAGAAACTTCGTCCCAAAAGAAACCTGTTTACCTGACAAACATGGAAAAGGGAGGCTGGTAAAAATAAAGAAAACTATCTACCACCCAACAACAAAACCCTCTAAAAAGCCTGCCTTCTACTTAGAAGCATATTGTTATCATAAATTTAAATTGCTTATGTTACATTTATATTGCTGAGGTCATTTTTCAAATCATGATACCAGAGATTACAACTAATTTAGATAAGTACTAACACTCACAAAACATTGACAGAAATAGAGCACTCAACTAAATCACCTTTTTGCAATGTGAGTAGTAATCCTTCCTCTCTAAGGCTAATTTACATTTGACCAATAAATACATGCAGAACAAGCTTACTTTCCATAGTCTGGCTTTTTTTTTTTTTTTCCTAGCAAGTCTCACTTAAAGTATTTACCATGAGATATTGCCTGGCCAGACAGACAGACTCAATTGTGCCCTGGAGGTAGACAGTGGATTTCTTCTGTGGGTTACTAGGGTCAGGAAAGTGGATCTGAGCACCAGTCCTCTGCATGATATGTTTGATGTTACTGCCATTTCGACCCATCATAAAGAGATGATGCTGCGCTGCAATGTCTAGTTGTGTGCTCACAGGGATTGCAGAGGCCAGGCTCCCAGCTAGGTGTTCTAAAAGCATGGCTGTTCCTTCCTGCAGGAGAAATGCAAGAAAAAAGGTATAACAGTGCTCACAGGCATACAAAACAACATTTCAGACTATTTCCTTTTTTGTCATGCCTTCCACATTCAAAATAAAGACCTTTCTGTTTTGTTTAAAAACCTGATTGATTTGTTAAAGGTAATGGATGGATTAAACTCTACCTACTAGTCTCTTTTTATGACCAAATGCAGTGTTTAATTGCCATTGTAAAAGGCAGTAAGATGATGTCGAATGGTTTGGTCCCAAAAGATGTGTGCCCACATATAGCAATAAAAAACTCAATAGACATTTATTTGGTTATATATACTTGCAAAATTTGTCTTTCAATTTTGGCCTAAGGTGTTCATACTGGCTTGAGATACAACTATCCAAGACCATATAAATGTCTCACTGCCAGCTGTTAACAAGGAAACTTTTTTATTTTATTAAGATAAATAGGTTCATGGTGGTTCCTTTATCTTACTGTCAGATTTGTATTTCCCAACTCTGGTTTCACAAGACCAGTTTCACTGACTGTTAGGGCAACTTTCGAGGTTATGTATTTGAGTGCACATTGAAAAGATCAAAGCATGAAGAATTAATGAGGTATGGGTTTGGGTTTTTTTTTTGTTTATTTGGTCTTTTTTTTTTTTTTTTATTGGAGGGGGAGGTTTGGGTTTTTTTAATTGATATTTCAAGCAGATTTTTTTTTTTTAATTAAAAGATGAATAAGATTAACACTTGTTCCAGAATTGCTAGAAACTTGAACAAGTGTGCAAGAGATGAAAAACAGATTAAAAGCTTAGCACAATCAATCCTGAATTCTAAACTTTAAACTATTTTCCAGGCATTTTTACACCACACCTATACCAGTTAAGTTTAAAAAAAACCCCAAACCCTCAGGCTTCAAAATGATTATACAATAATAACATGTACTTATGAGACAGGATATAGCATTAATAGAGTTCTTAAGTATCAAAATTATATTTACAACATGCGGACACCTATTTAAGACAACACGTTACCTTCACAGCACTAGTGTTATTTTGTGACCCTCTGACAATGACTGTAGCACCATACATTCGAGAGCGTTGTTTAAAGGAAACTGAAATATTATACGTCTGAGATATATGCTGAATCGTGGGAGAATTAGGATCTGGGATTGGTTGCAGAATTCCAGCAATAGGCAATTCAAACATGAGTACCAATGGAAGCAGCTCCTACAATATTGAAGAGTAAATATTGAAAACCAAAATCATACTCGCTAAAACTACAACAATTTAATTAGTGAATCATATTGCATTGGTCCGTGATGATTAAACTGACATAATACATCTTCTGTCTAGGTTTCATTGATAAAAATATCGTATCTTGAGTTGGAAAAAGGCACCGATTTTTCCAGGGACACAGGAGTTTTTTGGTTTCATGGGCTCTTTGTTTGTGGGTTGTTTTTTTTTTTGTTTTGTGTTGGTTTTGTTTGTTTGTTTGTTTGTTTTTGTTTGTGGTTTCCCCCCCCCCCAAAAAAAACAGAAGGATCTTTTGCAACTATGTAGCAACAGTAAAGTCAGGTAATTTCCCCATACTTATCCATGCAGACCTACAAATAGGTCAATATTGTAAAGCTTCATAGAGAAGTCTGTTTTCTGTGATGGATTAATTGGAGCTCTAAAGTCAGCTACAGAGCTACATAAACATCAGCTTCTCTCATGACTGTCAAGACCAAGGTTTTGTAAGTGACATACCTGACTACAACAATTGTGAAAAAGTCTTCATAATTTATTAAATTCATTATTATCCATGCCAAAATACACATACAAATCAAAACTAGAAGATAAAGATAGAAAAGTACTACAAGGGGAGAATGGAACTGAATTCCTCCAAATTACACAAATTATACTTGCAAATGGTTAAAATTAAAAAGACAGCAATTGCTTTTGCTAAGTCATAGATTCATACAAAATGCCTGAGCTTCTACAGGCTCTCTGTGGAGGGTAAGTTAAGACACAATTTTAGGTATAATATGGGATACCTTACATCTTGCTTATACTGTAGACTAAGTGTTCAAGATCCACCTTGGGCTAGTTAAAAATGTGGCCAGACTGTGAATCACTGTTTTTATAATACCCTTTGCCTTTTACTCATATGGATACTCACATTGTTCCTATATTTATGCTGTCATAAGACAGAGCCAGACAACCCTAGGGTTTTCAAAAGTATATATATATTTTTTTTTTCTCCTGTCAGGTGTTTTCAAGGGAACACTATACTGAAATAGACTATTACCCGAATTCTAACTCTTGCTGACTCCACTCCAGCTGGCTGTCCTGCAATAGACACCTGGAAGAGCAAGAATATAGAAGACATAGCATCACATTTTCAAATGAGGTATTGGAAAAGTTATTCAGATTTAAAAAATAAAATAACACAAAACAAAAAAACCTCAACACTTACTCACACCTGACGACATCTTAAGTGTTCTCTAAACAGTAGTTGAAAACTAAAACCCGTTTAAAGAAATGATCTATTAATATTATAGCATCTTAGCTTACAACTAGAAAAGAAACTAGAAAAAAACTGATACATCAAACAATACAGCAGTTTGGATGAAATAAGGGAATTACTATTGTATACATGCACTCAATGCTAACGTTCAACAACAGTTGGGTTTCTTGAACATTTTGAAATTGTTGTATTTTGCTCAGCAGCCACTGGGATGCACAAGAGGAGATTCTAAATGCAGTGATGAAAGACTTGAAAGTAAACATTCCAGTAATATTAGCATTGCAAAAGATGAACAATTCAGGTTCAATGACTTATTCTAATAAAGTTGAACTCTTACAATAGGTCATTAATTTTTGACAGATATCTGCCAAGTTTAGTTTTCAACTAAGTTACACCATAAGCCAAGGGCACCGAGAAATTAATCAATATGCTAAATAAGTTGGGTGTTGAACAGGAAAAAATTCACAAAAGCATTGCTTTTCATACTGCTTCCCTACTATTCACACTAAGTTGTTGATTTCGGTATGCTCAAAATAATTTTATTTAAAAAACTTAATTATTCATGAGCCATCACAAATTGTTTCCATCTGTTTTTAAAGATTTCCTGACTTAGGAAGTCACATGCTTTTCACAGAGTGCAAATACCAAAAATCTATTTCCCTGAACATGAACTCACTCAAAGAAAATCATCATAGAAATGTTTTATACTCTCAGGAATTACAGTATAAATGAGTTAAAATATTGAACAATACTTACTTGGTTGCTTTTCTCTGCTTGATTATTCCTATTTGAGTCTGGAAAATGGATATGGCATCCTGTTTCCTCCATCACCTTTTTAATATTATTGCCACCTTTACCTATCACATGAGAATGTTCTGTATGTGAAACATCCATCTTCAAGGTTACCCGATTGCTCTGGAAAGCAAACACCCATGATTAGATTTGTTCAAAGCAGAACCCGAGTATTTTATAGTAATGTAACGTCAAGAATGACACTCAAAGTTGTATTTCCAAAGTGGTTTTGCAGAGGCTTAACTTCTACTCAAGTAAGATGTTTTTAATATGGATCATAGTCAGATGCTAAACCATTCACATTTTCTTTCCAGTGAGGAAATAACATGGAAATAAATACCCCAAATACACATCTTCACAAATGTCTAAGGCTTTTAAAACATGCCCTAGCTTTTATCAACTGTGACTTAAATGTCCTTCTGCAATCCATCCTAATTTATTTTGATTCTGTGTTCTTTCAATTGCAGTCACACACCCGTCTGATCTGAAAGGATCATATGATGAAGACTGGAAAAATCACACATTCACGGGACTTAAAATAACAGGATTTTTTCCACCTTTAACAAACATACCAAATTTTTCTGGTACACCAAATTTTAAAATATACAAACACTGCCTACAGTTGTTCTTAAAAGTTGTATCATTAACAGTCCATAAAATGCTGTTAATAGTTGTTAAAAATAAAGTGCTTATCACTGGAGTGTTCCTTTTGGTAATCCGTTTAGAGAAAAAAAAAGTTGGTGTACAACTATGCAGAAGCCCTATACACTGCCCCAAAAGACTTGCTATTGGATTAAAAGAAAATCTGATGAACATATGAGACCCTTGGCCAAAATCTAGATGTTTTAGAAATTCTGGCCCTAATGTTTCAGAGTATAAGAATGCAGTTAACGGTAAAAAACAGAACTACATAAATGCTCCTAAAATTGAATTTCAAACAAAAAACAAAGCCAAAACAAAAATTTTATGTTCAGTGAAGTGGTCAAATAATCTACTGTTTGCAAGGAGGCAATATTTCAGATTTTAAAGTGCAAAACTCAATCCAATGAAGAAACTATGTATGCTTTTAGCCAAATGGCTGGAAATACTATTTCTATATAGTGCAGATCTGGAAGAAGTGCTTTAAGCAAGTATTCTCTTGTTGCATGTTTAAATATGTGTGTAGACACCAAATATCAACATCTAGAAGGAATATATTGGAGGCTTTGCTTCAGAGTGTCCATAAACACCTTCTGATAAATGATCCCTTTTAAAGAGATCAATGTCACCACAAAATTAGGGGTTAAGGTGTCATTCTAAGTAAGTTCTTTCTTACTTTTGTGTCCAAGACAGACATGATTTTCTCTTTCGCTTCTTTAACATTTTCCTTTTTTCCAGAGACTTTAATATGGGGATCTATAAAAGAAATAAAGACTTGTAAGAAAAAAAAAAACAGTAAAATATCTATCAAAAATTTCATCACTGCTTAAATAAATTTGAATTCATTATTTATAGTTCAGCAATAAACTGTACCACCAGCCTTTGGGATTCAGCTAGAAATCAAATGTATCATTCCATCCCTTCTGCCCCACAGCTAGGATTACCAGATGAGTTTATTAAACATGATAGCCAACTTAAAAAAAAATCCAATGCAAAATGTAAATCACTATTACAAACATTGTCTGCAATGCAATTATGTAGCTAAGCCATCAAGACTTCTCAAATATTAACAGAAGACATATAGAAGTTTTGTGACAGCCTCACTCAAGCTTAACACAACATCTGTAAAAACACCCCCACTAAACTAAAACCCATCCTCATCATCACTTTGTTATATTTAATTAGTCCCTAGAACTAACCTTTGCAGTTTTATCCTGGTAATAAAGGTACCCCTACTAGAAGTTTTCTGGTTGAAGTTATCAAATCAAATTTAAGTGACACCTAAATAATACAACAAAGATTTGAAGTGTCAAGTATTTAAATTTAGATATGCTACTAAGCTACAGACCCAGGAGGAACACAAGCTGATGGCAGTTTTTGCCCAGTGAGATCTAAAAAGCTGATTTTACAACATACTTCAGTTTACATTATAATTTTCAAACCATTGTCCTTAAAGGCATTGTGCTGAGCTATCAGGTACAGTTCTGCATCCTGGAGCTTACACCTGGTCAGAGAGTATAGAACTGACTTTGGAACAAAATCAAGGATCAGTTACTCAAAAAACGTGTGAAAATTACACATTAGATAGTTTAGCAGCACCATCTGGTGTCCAGAAGCATTAAGCGCCACAATGCAAAATTACCATCAAAACATTAAATATAGGTTCAATTAAAACAAACAAAAAATCCTCAACTACTACCCAAATTTTTAAGTATTAGAATCAAGGATATGATTTTGCAGGTGATGCCTATTTCTCTTTCCCCAGTTCAGTCCTCTGTCTTTCTGCAATATAACAGTGCTTCTAATCCTGTGATGGGATGAACTGTTCTCAAAAACAAACAAACAAAAAATCCTAAAACCTCTTCTGGCTATTGAATTAGTCTCATTCATTTTGCTAGACAGATGCACACATCTTCAGGTACATAAAAGTAAATACATTCTCAATGGCAGAAGAAAATATAGCCATAACACAACATATCTGCCTTTCCCGTTATCTCAATGATTTAAATAATTTGACTACTAAAAAAGTGCCAATTGATAAAACTTCAGATTGCAAACCTGTTTTATTCGATTGAAAATTGAAACTGTTTAAGCCATGCCTGGATACTCTTTTCATTCCAACAATGAAAAACCTCTAGTCTTTACCACTGGGAAGTTCTGAGCACATTCAGATAGGGATAGAGAAATGCTGAAGGAACACAGGATTCACTGCCAAGTTTCATGAAAGTCAAGAAAAATGCAGCACTTTGAGTTCTGAGAAACAGATATATTTAATTTTTAAAAAACTGTAGTCGCAAAAACATGGTATGTGCATAGAATCTACAGAAGCTCAAAAAATCTGCTGCTTCAGCCTTTTCACAATGGAGCAAAGTAAAAAAACCCAACAAAATAGTCTTAAGGGCTTTTTTTTTTTTTTTTTAAGTTGACAGTAAGCCATATGGTTCTAATGTGTTTAAGCTGTGAACGATATTTGAAGTGGATGTCGCAGGCAGAAATTCCCAGAAGCAGATTCTAGCACACTATGTATGCTCCAAGTGCTCTTTAGAGGCAACCAGAAAAAACACAAAACCAGACCACCACCACTTTGGGTCGATTTCATGTATTTGTAAACATTGTATTTTAATACATATTTGGTCACAAGTATGAAAAATATCTGAAATCGGCCTGGCATCCTACCAGTACTAAAGAAGATTACTACCATTCCATAATACTATTTTTTTAGCCATGTGTGAAAATACATTTTAGAATACTATTTTTTTCCATTTCTCACCTCAGCTGGACTCTTTGTTGATACTGACAGTTTCAGCAAAAAATCCCATATTTCTATATTTAACCTTTCTTTGTTCTTTTTAAAGGAAAAAAGCTCAATTGCTCATTTTAAAAACAAAAGCAATGAAGAATCCACAAAGCAAAACAAATCCACCGATGCCAGTGACAATTCTAAAATATGCTATTAAACCTTCCAGAAGTGGTCTTAAGTACTCTCTCCTTACTTGACTTCTTCTCAATGGCACAGTGGTTGGTAATGGATATGAAGAAAATTGTTAGGTTAACA